AAGACCAGGTGACAACCCCTTCTTTCTCCTTTGGGGGGACTTTGGGCATGCGTGTGCATGCTCCGTGTTTTTCAAGCCACCAGGTTGGAGACTGACCCATGTGGGATCCCGCGCCTTAACCACCAGGCCACCTCCTGGCTCGGTAACATCTCAATTACTAAAATTCTATGGCACATTGGTGGTATCTAAGAAACAGAATTGATTTGTGCATTTCTTTTTTTTTTTCTTTTGAGAGAGATATTTTTGCTACAGGGCTTTTTTTTTTTTTTTTTTTTTTTTTTTTTTTTTTTTTGCTACTGGGCGTGTGTGCTCCTCAGACAGAGAGAGACATAGAGACAGAAAGCCAGAAATCACCCCGCAGGGGGGACGGCCACAGCCGCAATACCTTCTCTTCCATTCTCTCTGGATCATGGGCATGCATGGACAGGCACCCGCCATGAGTTTTAAGCCACCAGGTCCGAGGCTCAAACTGCAGTTGGCTACATAGGAGTCCAGCGACATAGCCATTATGCCAACTGCTGGTTCCAAGGGCATGTCTCTTGCCAGAGAGACAGAGACCCGGAGAAATCATGCCCCGGGGGGAATGGGTATGCTGCAGTCCTGTCTCTTCCATTCTCCTCTCAAGATTTTGGAGAGAGAGAGGCGCAGGGTATGAATTTTAAGTCACTGGGTCCGAAACTCGAACCGCGGTGGACTACATGAGAGCCCAGCGACATAACTATTATGCCATCTGCTGGTCCCTGATTGGTGCATTTCTATGAACTGAACTTCACAGTTTATTTGGATTTTACCAGTTTTTGTGTTTTTTTTTTTAATGTATAATTTGCATTTTATTTTTTCCCAGAGGACAGACAGTTCTTTGGTTCTTAAAGACTCAACTCCTTACACTGGTTTTGGGTGGAGGACTAGGGGCAGCACCTGCAGGTCTAAATCAGGGTAGGGGTGTTCCCGTCCTTCAGAGCCTCATGAGATCGGTTCCTGACTCCCTCGCTGTGAATGGCTCCAGTCACACAGGAATGCAGTTTCACATACAGCTTGGGGAGCACGTAGGCGTGGAGGACACTTGTTTGGGAAATGTCCCTGCCGCCTGCCGCCTCTGCTATGTTTCGGATGGGGGAACTTTTTAATAGCCTTGTCCTTGGGCAGTCTAGCTTTTCTTCCACCCCCCCTTTTTTTTAATCGCTAGAAGGACAAGGCGGTGTGAGGGAGGGGTGAGTGAGAAAGAGCCCTCCATGGGGAATGGACATGCAGCAATCTCTTCTCATCTCTCCCTCCTTTGGGGATTTTGGGCATGCATTCACATGCGCCAGGTATGTGTCTTAAGCCACCAGATCCAGGACTGAAACTGAATAGTTGGCCACGTGGAATCCAGCTGCCTTAACCACCATGCCACCAGCTGGCCCCTAGCTAAATATTTATTCGGTCATATATTTATAGCAATATGGACTCACAGATACTTATTTTCTACTTTAGTTGTAATCTGGTACATAATTGTGTTGCTAAAATTCTATCCGCTTTTTTTTCTTTAAACGTGTATTTATTTCTTGTGAGAGAGAAAAGTCACTCCCAATAGGGTCTTCACACCACAATCCACCCCCTTCCACAGCCAGCCAGCATTACAGGTTACACGATGCCCAGCATGTATGGGGAGACCTGGGGACCCAAACCCGGGATCTTCCCATACGGCCTCAGCATTGCGAAGCGGTGTGTTACCGCTGGATCACTGTGGGCAGCCCGGCTTTGTTAATTACAAGATGTTTTTCAGGTTTGGTTTTATGTCCTTTATCTTTTTTTTTGTTTAAATTTGTCAGGGGGGAGTGCGGAAGCACCCCTGTGGGGCATGGTCATGATCCAATCTTCCCTTTTTGTCCTCCCTTCAGGATTCCAGACGTACTTGCACACGTGCCTGGCATATTTTCCAGGCTGCTGGGTCCAGGCCACAAACCACACAGTTAGCCATGTGGGATCCAGCCACCTAAACCAGCATACCACAGGTTGGCCTGGTGACCTCTTTTTTTAAGATGGAATCTCACTATGTCATGATTCTCTGGCCTCTGCTTCCAGTGGCTGGGACTACAGGCAAGCATTGTGTCTGGCTTTCAGGATGGGCTGGGTCTCGAACCTAGGCCTTCCAGGCAGCTTTAGTGTGTAAAGAAGCAGTATCAGCCAGCGTGTACTACTGCAACTGAGTCTGCCTGGATACTTTTTGTATGCAGATCTTTACTGGGACAGCTGAGTCCAGCTTATATTCCCCCTCGACTATATTTCCCTTGGGTCCTTCCCAGAGGTAATCATTATTTGAAGATGGTATGTACCCTCCAGACCAGCAGTTAGCGTAATGGCTATATCGCTGGACTCCCACGTAGTGGACCGTGGTCCGAGTCCCGGACCCAGTGGCTTAAACTCACGCCGGGCACGCGTGCGGCAATGCCCGCCCCAGGTCCCGAGAGGAGGATGGAGGAGAAGGGATTGCGGCGTGGCCATCCCCCCTGGGGGGTAATTTTTCACTTTCTGTCTCTCTGTCTGTCTCTGTCTGGCGAGTGCACATGCCCTACAGCAAAAACCTCTCAAAAAAAAAACAAACAAAAACAAAAACAGAAAAAATACATCATGATTTCTGACAACTCAATAGTTTAGTTCATGGAGAGATTACTTTCTGTATCATATTTACATTAATCACCAATAAGAAAAGATACCTCAAACCATGCTCTTATAATCATAAAAGGAGGTTACATAGGACCAGCAGATGGCATAATGGTTATGTTGCTGGACTCCACATAGTCAACCATGGTTGGAGTCCCAGATGAGGCAGCTTAAACTCACACCAGGTATGTGTGAGTGCATGCCCAAATGGAGGAGAAGGGATTGCGACGTGACCATCCCCCCTGGGGGGTGATTTCTCGCTTTCTGTCTCTATGTCTCTCTCTGTCTGTCTGGCGAGCGCACATGCCCTATAGCAAAAAATCTCTCTCTCAAAAAAAAAAAAAGAAAAATAAATGAATAAATAAAAAATTAAAATAAATAATTCTTGAAAAGAAAAAGTTCTGGTGGAAGAAGAAAAGCACCTGTTGGGTGACTCAGAGTTTCTCTCTTGTCGTTTATCTTTCTAGAACCTGCTGTCTCTCATTCCAGTCCAGCTTCCTTTGGGAGCTCCCAGCTTACTAGGCAGGTTTGTGCCTGTGTAAATCCCAGTCGTGCATTGTTAGACTTCGTTCTTATTTAGGACAGCAGTGTCACTGCAAATTAAGGGATGAGGTTAAGCAACTGTTTAAATTGTCCCTGAACTGTCGGTGATAATTAAGAATCTCCCTGGGGGCTGGTATGGTGGCATGGTGGTTAAGGCGCTGGATTCCCACATGGCTGATCACGGTTCATGTCTCAGACCCAGCAGCTTGAAGATCACGCCAGGTGTATGTGTGTACATGCCCCAAATCCAAGAGGTTAGTGGAGGAGAAAGGACTGTGGCATGGCCATCGCGGCGCAGGGTGAGTTCTCACTTCCCCTCTCTCCCCCAGTGAGTGCACATGCCCTATGGCAAAAACTTTTTAAAAAAGAAAACAGGAAGCTGGCAAGCCACATTCTTTGGGCTAGAGAGGTGTGCAAGCTTCAGAACCCCAAAAAAATCTCACCAGGTGTATGCATACTTGATGGTGGGGGGTGAATTGCAGACAGTGATGACTGGGCAAGTTAGGGTCACATCAGACCTTCTAGAAGCTCAGCTGCCCCTTCCTAGGCCCAGCCTTCTGTGTGTGTGTCAGCCTGGATGTGTGCTAAGCCAGGAAGGTGACCTTGATCCAACCTGAAGCTTGTTCATGTGCAGGAGGGCTCCGGGCACCATTCAAGGACCCACAACACAATAGTCTTCTCTCACGCCCCTCCCTGTCCTCTGGTGAACAGCTTAGTCCAAATTATCTCTAAACTGTGGCCAGTGGACCTAAAAGAGACTGAGATCATCCAAAAGATTTTTTTTTTTTTTTAAGAATTATATTATTTAATTATTTAACTTCATTTATTTTAATTTTACCAGAGAGGGCAGAGCAAGAAGTGAAGGGAGTGAGAAATCAAGCCACCAGATCCAGGACTCGAACTGCAGTCGTCCATGTGGGAGTACAGATCCTTTAATTAACCACCATACCACCTACTGGCCCCTTTTCCCCTTCTTGGAAAATGCCTCTTAAAACCTTTCATCTGTTGTTACAGCCACTGCCGCCCCCTATTTCAGGACCACACATTAAGCCTTGGAATTGGCCTGAGAAATGCCCTCTGTGGCCCCAGGCACTTTAGTAACCTCCCAAGTACTGTGTACACTTGCATCACCGATGTATTGGATATGGAACAACACCAGTTTGTACACCTGTTTGTATTAGTGGCTTTGCTCCCAGCTTGAAAACGCAGTTCTATCATTGACCACTAGGTGGTACCACATCCCAAGTTACACTACAGTTTTTGTTTTTTGTGTTTTGTTTTTTGGAGAGGTTTTTGCTACAGGTTGTGTGCACTTGCCAGAGAGACAGAAAGCGAGAAATCACCCCCCACCCCCCACAGGGGGGTTGGCCACGCTGCAATCCCTTCTCCTCCATTCTCCTCTCAGGATCTTGGGCACGTACGCACATGCGCCCGGCGTGAGCTTAAGCCACCAGGTCCAGGACTTGATCCACGGTTGGCTACATGGAAGTTCAGCAACATAGCCATTACACCTACTGCCGGTCCCATACTATAGTATATTTAGGGTGGGCATTTTAAGACTTATTTATTTATTTATTTATTTATTTTTGGAGAAGTTTTTGCTATAGGGTACATGTGTTTGCCAGAAAGACAGAGAGAGAGACAGAAAGCGAGAAATCATTCCCGGGATGATGGCCACACTGCAATCCCTGCTCCTCCGTTCTCCTCTCGGGATCTTAGGCACACACACACATGTGCTCAGCATGTGTTTAAGCCACCTGGTCCAGGACTCGAACCACAGTCGACTACATGGAAGTCCAGCGACATAGCCATTACGCCATCTGCCAGTCCCCTGGGTCTGGAATTCTAACCACGGTCCACCACATGGGAGACCAGTACCTTAATCACCACACCGCCTGTTGTCCCCTCAAGATTTTGTTCAGTTGGCCAGAGGGCTTGTATACTCACCAGAGAGAGACAAAGAGCAGGAAATTAAGAATGTTCCCAACTGGGGAACAGTCACTGCAATCCCTTCTCCTCCACTCTTCTCTCAGGATTTTAGGCATGCATGCACATGCAACTGATGTGTTTTTCAAGTTGCTGTCTTCAGGACTCACTACGCTGTTGTCCACGTGGGATCCAGCCACCTAAGCACCATGTTACGGGGTAGCTCCAAGTCAGATCTTGTCTGTGGATAACTTTTTCTTTAATCTAAAATTTTAGATGGTGTAATGGTTACGTCGCCGGACTCCCACATAGTAAATCTCAGTTCAAGTCCCGGACCTAGCATCTTAAAACTCAGGCAAGATATGTGCACGTGTGTGCCCAAAAATCTCCACAGGAGAAGGGAGGAGAAGGGATAGTGGCATGACCATATGGGGGGTGGGGAATGATTTCTCGCTTTCTATCTGTCTCTGTCTCTACCCACCCTTTAGCAAAAATCTCTCTTGGGGACCAGCAGTCGGTAAGGCGCGGGATACTCCCACATGGCTGACCGCAGTTCGAATACCAGACCCGGTGGCTTGCTTTCTTACTTGCCCTCTCTCTTTGTGTATCTCTCTCTGGTCAAATGAAAATAAATGAATGAATAAAGAAAATTAAATAAATAATAATTTTTTTAAATCTCTCTTAACATTTTTTTCTTTTTAATTTTAGTGTATAAATAGTGCTATTTGAACTGCTCACATAAGCCCATCTTACCCAGTAAGAAAATGTGAAGTGTTTCTAGCAGTGTAGACATAATTGGCATGGCCTGTCGAAAGGTCTTCCACTAGAATCTGGAGAAAATCTAAGGAGGGCTGGCAGGTGGCGTGGTAGTTAAGGGTGCTGGACTTCCACATGGCCAATCGCAGTTCAAGTCCCAGACCTGGCGGCTTGCTTTCTCACTCCCCCCACCCCACGTCCCTCTCTGGTCAAATTTAAATAAATGAATGAAGTTAAAAAATAATTATTAAAAAAAAGAAGCTTAAAAAATAATTTAAAAAAAATCTAAAGGTAGTTCAACCATAAACTGGATGTTTTTTATTTTCTAGGCCATCTGAGAATTTTAAAGTCACATGGGACTTTAAAAAAAAAAACAATGAAGAGATCCTACTGTGGACCTCCCCTCGGCACAGCACACTCCCCAAGGGCAGCAGCCTGACAGGCCACACGGCCCCCTCGTCTCCCAGCCTGCCTCCCCAAGGCATGGCCCAGGCTCTCGCCTCATTATGGCAGCACGACACAGCATGCTCAACTTCACGCTCGACGCCAAAACCGATGGCGAGACCATTCTGAAAGGCCTCCGGTCCATCTTCCAGGAGCAGGGCATGGTGGAGTCGGTGCACAGCTGGCAGGACCATGGCTTCTTAGCAACCTACACCAGCAGGAACGGCAGCTTCGCCAGTTTGAGAATCTACCCCCACGGATTGGTGCTGTTGGACTTTCAGGGTTACGACAGTGATGCGCAGGCCCAGGGAGAAATCGCCAGCCTTTTGAACAGCGTAGAAAGAAGAATGGAAGAACTGAGTCAGGACGGCGCTGGGCGGGTGAAGAGGTTACCACCTGTCCTCCGAGGGGGGGCCGTGGACAGGTACTGGCCCACCGCCGATGGACGCCTGGTGGAGTACGACATCGACAAAGTGGTGTATGATGAGGACTCTCCGTACCAGAACATTAAGATCTTACACTCGAAGCAGTTTGGGAACATTCTTATTTTGAGTGGGGATGTCAATTTGGCCGAGAGTGACTTGGCCTATACCCAGGCCATCATGGGCAGCGGCAAAGAAGATTACGCCGGCAAGGAGGTCCTGATTCTGGGAGGCGGGGATGGCGGCGTGTTGCATGAGATAGTCAAGCTGAAGCCGAAAATGGTCACCATGGTAGAGATCGACCACATGGTGATCCAAGCCTGCAAGAGACACATGCGGCAAACGTGCGGTGACGTCTTAGATCACCTGCAGGGAGACGGCTATCAGGTTCTCGTTGAAGACTGCATCCCCGTGCTGAAGAGATACGCCCGGGAAGGGAAGGAGTTTGATTACGTGATCAACGATTTGACGGCTGTTCCCATCTCCACGTGTCCGCAAGAAGATTCCACGTGGGAGTTTCTCAGGCTGATCCTTGACCTCTCAATGAAAGTACTGAAACCGGATGGGAAGTATTTCACGCAGGGGAACTGTGTCAACATGACCGATGCCCTGTCGCTCTATGAAGAGCAGCTCGGGCACCTGTACTGTCCTGTAGACTTCTCCAAGGAGGTCGTCTGTGTCCCTTCGTACTTTGAATTATGGGTATTTTATACCGTATGGAAGAAAGCTAACCCTTGAAGGTGAAATTCCCCTGGCCATGTGTGCTGTGGGCAGTCCTTCCTGACTGTCTGCGTACGCTGTACGCCCCATCCAGATGAGTCAGGCTAGATTGTAAATTCCTTACTGTTTTCTTTTTATAATTATTATTTTTCATTTTAAAAAGCAAATGGGAGGGACCAGTTGGCGTAATGGCTGTGTCACTGGACTTCCATGCAGTCGACCTCAATTCGAGTCCCGGACCCCGTGGCCTTAAACTCACACCGGGCACGTGTGCATGTGTGCCCAAGATCCCGAGAGGAGAATGGAGGAAAAGGGATTGCGGTGTGGCCATCCCCCCGGGGGGTGACTTCTCGCTTTCTGTTTTTCTGGCGAGCGCACACGCCCTATAGCAAAAACCTCTCCAAAATAATTAAAAGCAAATAGAAAAATGTATATTTTAATGAGCTAGGTTTTTTTTTTTTGAACAGCTGAAGGACGATAGTATAGTGAAGACTGCTGAAAGCACTGACCCCCTAGAATGTGATTTTTGTTTCTTTTATTTCTCTGTGGGCATTATTTTTGTTTGGTTTTAGATTTTAGTAGACCTTCAGTTTGGATATTTAGAGGAATAAACATTATTGTTTTGTTCTGGAGGGCAATTATTAATGGTATTTCTTTCCAAAAACATTGACTTAGATGTTAAAATGCGGTGCTTATAAGAAGTGGTTTTAAAAAATGAATAACGGGGTATCTTTTTAATAGTGGGCCTGGCAGGTGGTGTGGTGGTTAGGGCGGCTGGACTCCCACATGGCCGACCACAGTTCAGGTCCCGGACCTGGCAGCTTCCTTTCTCACTTTCCTCCTCTCTCTCTCTGTCTCTCTGTCTCTCTGTCTCTCTCTAGTCAACTTCAAAAGAATAAAAGAATGACGATGAATAAAGTTAAAATTTTTAAATGAATAGCAGTGTTTTGATTAAAACTATAAAAGAGTGGGGAGGAAAAAACATCAGATGTTAGCCATGGCAGGGAAGACCACTGAGCTGATTTCTGCTAACTAAGTTTATTTCATATATACCTTATATATAGCCTGAAGACAATTTTATATGACAGTTTTGTATTGAAAGTCTACAGGTAACTGATATGGTGGCTCTGCTAGCGTTTAACTTTGTGGGGATTATAGCTATATTTCATAAGCCCTCAGCTGCTGCAGAGGTGGGGATCCAAACCCAGGGGACCAGCATTGGCATAATGGCTATGTCTCTGGACTCCCATATAGTCAACCATGGTTCAAGTCCTGGACCTGGTGGCTTAAACTCACACCAGGCACATGTGCGTGCGTGCCCAAGATCCCGAGAGGAGAATAGAGAAGGGATTATGGTGTGGCCATCCCCCCTGGGGGGTGATTTCTCGCTTCCTGTCTCTGTCTGTCTTTCTGGCAAGTGCACACACCCTATAGCAAAAACCTCTCCAAAAAAAAAAATGAGAAAGCAAGCCTCCAGGTCCAGGACTGAAACTGGTCAGCCAGGTAGGAGTCCAGTGCCCTAAACATGCCACCTGCTGGCCCCCATAGTGTGTGTGTGTTTTTTTTTTTTAATTTATTTATTATCATTATTATTTTTTAATTCCCTGTAGGGAGCATGCTCTCATGAGAGAAAGAGGAAACAAGTCACAAGGACTGGGACTTGAACCACAATCAGCCACATCGGAGTCCAGTGCCCCAACCACCACACCACCTACTAGCCCCAAAAAAGTTGTTAAAAATCATGATACCGGAACATACAGGTATCCTCAAAAAGTGTATGGAAAATGTGTATTATAAAAATACTCTGGGGAACCAGCAGTTAGCGTAATGGCTGTGTCGCTGGACTCCCACGTAGTCGACCGCGGTTCGTGTCCTGGACCTGGTGGCTTAAAACTCACGCCGGGCGCATGTGCGTGCGTGCCCAAGATCCCGAGAGGAGAATGGAGGAGAAGGGATTGCGGCGTGACCATCCCCCCTGGGGGGTGATTTCTCTCTTTCTGTCTCTCTGTCTCTCTCTGTCTGTCTGGCGAGCGCACGCGCCCTATAGCGAAAAACCTCTCCAAAAAAAAAAGAAAAGAAAAAAAAAAACTCTGCACGGATTTCAACATTTCTTGCATCAACGTGAACTCATACTTGAATTCCATTTTCTCCCACAAACTTTTCAGTTTCTTTTTCTATCCCCTGACCACAACAGAAGCATCCAGGGTGAGAAAAAGTCTGACACAGAATTATGAAACCACAGGGGACCTTCTTTCTCTTCTCTGTTTTCAAATGGAAGCTCTGTGTCTAGACTGGGAATAAACACACGGTTGTTCTGTGTAATTACATCTATTGTGTGTGGGGCTGAATCAGTCTGTGGGGGAGGATCGCCTAATGAAGAGGTGAACAGGATTCCCTCCTTCCCACTCAAGCACAGAGCGGGGCAAGTGCAGCTTCGAAGATGTAAAATAATGTTTTCCGTGCCTTTATTAAGCCCAGCCACTTGATTTTATGTTATTATAGACTTGGTAATGGTGGATGCTTCCAGAAAAATAATGCTATAGAAGCAAATGATCAGGTTCCTTTGGTATCTGAACTGCACTGATTCCTGGCTACACTAATGGTAGCCTCAGCTGGACTCCCACACCGCCCACTGCGGTTCGAGTCTCAGACCTGGTGGCTTGAAAATCACACTGGGCATGTGTGTGTTTGTGCCCAAGATCCCAGGAGGAGAATGAAGAAGGGATTGTGGTGTGGCCGTATCCCCGTGGGGGGGTGATTTCTCATTTTCCCTCTCACTGTCTCTGTCTCTCTGTGAGAGTATGTGCCCTAAGGCGAAATCTTCTAAAGAAAAAAAGAAAGAAAAGAAAATCATGCCAGGCGTGTATGCGTACATGCCCAGAATCCTAAGAGGATAATGGAGGAGAAGGAATTTGGGTACAGCAATCTCCCCGGAGGGATCTCACTTTCCCTCTCTGTCTTTTTCTGGAGAGCGCATAAGCCATACGCACAATATGTATACACACACACACATACATCCACACACATAGATCTATGTGTATATAGATCGATGTATTTATATGTATGTGTATATACATATACAATCTGTGTATATATGTATGTATGCATATATACATAGATAGATAGCTTGAAACTCACATTGAGTGCATTTGGGAGCGTGCCCAAGATCTCAAAAGGAGAACACGGGAGAAGGGATTGCGGCATGGCCATCCCCTCTGAGGGTTGATTTCTCGCTTTCTGTCTCTCTGTCTCTCTGTCTGTCTGGCACGCGCACACGCCCTATAGCAAAAAAATCCAAAGAAAAATAAATTAAAAAAATAAAGTTAAAATAATTCTTTTAAAAATCTTAAAAACTTAAACAAGAAAATAGAATTTAATTATTTTCTTGAATAGGTGATTCAGAGACATGACGCAAAATTCAAATGATTAAAAGGACATTAATTGGGGCCAGTGGGTGGCATAATGATGGGGGCGCTGGACTCTCACATGGCCAACGATGGTTCGCGTCTTGGACCCGGCAACTTGAAATTCATGCTGGGTGCGAGTAGGTGTGTACCAAGAATGGAGAAGAATGAATTGCAGTGTGGCCATCCCCCTGGAAAACGATTTCTCACTTTTTCTCTCTCCATCTTTGTCTTTCTGCTGAGTGCATGAGCCCTATAGCACAAATCTCTCAAAAATTGTTTTGAAAAAGCCTTAATTAAACTTTAGAGAAGTATACTATGTGGGTTGGCCAGTAGCGTGGTAGTTAAGGTGGCCGGATCTCATATGATCAACTGCATGGTTTGAGTCCTGAACCCTGTGGCTTGAAAAACACACCATGCATGTGTGTTCGTGCCCAAAATCCCAAAGGAGAAATGGAAAAGGGATGTGTCATGGCCATCCCTGGGAGTTGGGAGTGGTTTCTCATTTTCCCACTTGTCCCGGCCCGCGGGACAGTAGAACAGGTTTCCTGAGGGAAGGAGTGAGAGACGGGAAGAACGGCGCACTATCACAGCACGGAGACGACGCAGTGTCTCTTCAGGGTCGTCTCTTTATTGTAGGCAGCACAAAGACGACACAGTGTTCAGGGTCATCCGGAGCCGACACAATGTTGCCACAGCTCAGGGTCATCCAGAGACGACGCAGTGTCACAGAGACGGCGCGGTGGCGCAGCTCAGGGTGGTCCAGAGACGGCGCGGTGTCGCAGCTCAGGGTGGTCCAGAGACGGCGCGGTGTCGCAGCTCAGGGTCGTCTTCTTCCTGGTCGTCTGTGTCGTCTTCCTGGTCGTCTGGGGATTATGGGCCAGAGATCGTGCTTATATACACATTGGTGGGCCGTGATTGGTTGGATGAAGGATAGCAAAAGGTAGGTTATGATTGGTTGCTTTGTGGACCAATCATGAGGTGCCCAGATATGCAAATCTGAGGGATTCTAAGCTCAGCGATTTGCTAGGTAAAGTGGCCAATCAGAGTGTGGTGTTGAAGATGAGGTTTTTGAAGGGGAGCCAATTGTGGCCTTTGTAATTGTTTGCTCTCTGAGCCGAAGGTGGCAATAGTAAGAGACTCATGAAAAATGGCCTTTGCAGACTCACTGGTGCGCAGCCTCCCACACCCACTCTCTCGAATAAGTCCATGTACCCTCTGGCAATTTAAAAAGAAAGGCAAAAAGGGAAGGAAGAAAAAAGGAAACTCTAAGCACTATAATGAGTGTAAATTGACTTACAGGTAAATAATGATTTTCCACAAATTTGTTTATTGCCCAAGGGCACATGCAATCAAGGGGAAAGAGATTGAAAAAGAGAGACAGACGGACCAGCAGTTGGTGTAATGGCTATGTTGCTGGACTCCCATGTAGTCAACCGCAGTTTGAGGCCCAAACCCAGTGGCTTAAACTCACGCAAGGTATGTGTGCGTGGTGCCCAAGATCCCAAGAGGAGAATGGAGGAGAAGGGATTGTGGCATGGCCAGCCCCCCTGGGGGTGTGTGATTTCTTGCTTTCTGTCTCTCTGTCTCTCTCTGTCTTTCTGGCGAGTGCACGCGCCCTGTAGCAAAAAACCTCTCCAGGAAAAACAAAAAGGAAGAAGAGAGACAGAAGCCCCCCATGGGGGTGCAGTGGGATTATGGCATGCATGCACACGTGCCTGGCGTGTCTCAAACTGTCAGGTCTGGCAATCAAACTGTGGTTGGCCATGTGGAAATGCAGTGCCTTACCCTCCCTGCCACCCGTTGGCCCAAAGAGCATCCTTTCTTGATTAATACTGCCTGGATTCAGGCCCCAGCTCCACCACTACATAGATGTGAAACTTAGTACAAGTTCATCTCTCTGAACTTCAGTTGCCTCATCTGATAAAAACAGGGCAGTAATGATACTCGGTTTGGAGGATTAGAGTGAAGATGAAATAAGCGACAGTTTAAAACATGTAGACTGGTACCTCGAACGCAGTAAATATGTTCTTCGTTTTGTGTCATCCTGTGTTCCCCATTAGCTGTGAAGAAATAAATCATGTTTTGCTGTATCGAATTACATATATATTTTTAAAATACTTATTTAATTTTATTTATTATTATTATTTTTAATTTGCCCAAAGAGACACAGAGAGAGAGAGAGAGAGAAAGTGAGAAAGCAAGCCACCATGTCTGGGACTCAAACCATAGTCAGCCATGTGGGAGTCCAGCGCCTCAACCACCACACCACCTGCCAGCCCCTTGGACTATATTTTAATTGCTCCAGAGAGGCCATTTAGTAAACCCTTTAGTAAGAGAAAATTTTGGCGTATGAATAAATGATCTCTTAATTGATGTGTTTAACTAAAACACAAAATAAAGGACCAGCAGATGGTATAATGCTTAGGTCGCTGAACTCCCATGTAGTCAACCATGGCTCGAGTCCCAGACCCAGCAGCTCAAAACTCACACGGAGCCGACAGGCGGTGTGGTGGTTAAGGACGCTGACGCCCTTGGGGACCAGCAGGTGGCATGGTGGTTAAGGACGCTGACTCCCACATGGGTGTCCACAGTTCAAGTCCCAGACCTAGCTGCTTGCTTTCTCACTTTCCCTCTCTCTTGCTCTGTCAAATTAAAATAAATAAATACAGTTAAATAAAGTAATTTTTAAAAAAATAGTAAAAAAACCTGAAACTCACACTGGGTGCACGTGTGTGCCCCCAAATCCCGAGAGGAGCGTGGAGGAGCCTGGATTGAGGCATGGCCATCCATCCTGCTTGGGAGGTGGTGGTTTTGTTTTCTCTCTTTCTGACCCTCTCGCAAATGTATGAGCCCTATGGCAAAAGTCTCTCAAAAAACAAAACACACAAACACATCTCTAAAAAACAAAACAAAACAAAAAAACACACAGTCTACACAAACACATCACACACACACACACACACACATACACACACACTTGCAATGTCTTCTTGGGATCACTAGGTGGCGCCTGGGTGGGCTGCAGGACGAGCGTAGCTCACCCACTCACAAACCGATTCAGGACAAGGAGGTTCGTTTGGTCCGCAAGGGACTCACGAATTCTTTTAAAATTTCATTTGCCAAAATGTAAAGGTCATGGGATTTCACGTAAAACTTCATTTCCAGATTCTGCCGAAATCGCAAGAGCTGGCCACCCTAGACCGGAAGCGCTGCCTCCTGCAGCGCAGAGTCCCCGCCGTGTCCCGCAGCGCCGCTCCCAGCCGCCTGCTTCGCCCTGCGCTCCTCTGGCTCCCGTAGGCACCTGGGTTTGGAACCCGCAAGGAGTCCCAGCCTTCCCTTGTAGGTAGCAGGCTGAGGTCCTGCAGAGAAAGCAGCAGCTGACACTGCAACTGTAAACCTCAGACCAGGGCTTTGTTCCGTGCTCGTGTAATTTCTTTTCACATGCGACTGCTTTCAGAAAAGGGCGGCCGTGCTCGTGTAATTTCTTTTCACATGCGACTTTCAGAAAAGGGCGGTAACTAAAAAATACTGGGTAAGACATATGGGGAGCCCCGACATTTGGGGACTTTGAGGCACCATTTAGGTGGTTAAAATGGGAGATGGAGAAAAGGGACGGTAATAGGACTTCTTTTCTTTGTGGAAAAGAACTTAATTGATTTGGGAGGAAAGAATACAAGTTCAGTGCAGAGTCAAGCATTTCGGAAAAGTACAAAGAGCATGGTAAAAGATTCCCTAAGGGGCCGGTAGGTGGCGTGATGGTTAAGGGCACTGGACTCCCACGTGGCCAATGATAGTTTTAGTCCTGGACCAGGTGGGTTGCTCGCGTGCTCGCTCTCTTTCTCTCTCTCTCGTCAAATTAAAATAAAAACCAAATAAATAAAAATAAATAAAATTATTCTTTAAAAAATTTCCTAAAATTCTTTCATTTATATCTCCATTAATATCTCAGTATACATTGTCTGTATTTATAAATACACTTAGTCTAGTCCTATTTGGGCCAAAGAATACCTAGGAGTGTGGGGTTTTAGAGTTTCCATGGGCTCTTTCTCAGTTTCCCCCTAGTCATTTATCTGATCTGACCAAATGAGAAACTTTTCAACTATAGTACAATGCTGTGCAAATAAAATGCCAAGACTTTGCCCACCCCAACTCCCTTCCCATAAGATCTGTTGCCCACCCATCCAGCCCCCCTATAGAGAAATTCTGCAGCTGCCAGAGGTGCATGTGTGGCATTTTCCAGAATGAGAGCACGCAAGTTGTTCTGTAACTTGATCTTTCCACTAATATTATTTTTAGAACATTATTTCCTACTTTATTAATATAGACCTAATTTTTTTGTTCACCTTTAAAATCACCCACAGGGACCAGCAGTTAGCGTAATGGCTATCTTGCTGGACTCCCACATAGTCGACCGTGGTTCGCGTCCCGGACCTGGTGGCTTAAACTCACACCGGGCGCGTGTGCGTGCGTGCCCAAGATCCTGAGAGGAGAATGGAGAAGGGGTTGTGGTGTAGCCATCCTCCCTGGGGGGTGATTTCTCACTTTCTATCTCTCTGTCTCTCTGGCGAGCGTACACGCCCTATAGCAAAAACCTCTCCCCCCCCACGCCAAAAAAAAAAGAAATCACATTTAAATAAAATCCCCCACAGAGACATGAGGTTGACAGGTGGCATGGTGGTTAGGGGTGCTGGACTCCCACATAGCCAACAGTGGTTCAAGTCCTGAACCTGGTGGCTTGCTTTCTCACTTTCTTTCTCTCTCTCTCTCTTGCTCTCTTACTCTGTCTCTCTCTGGTCAAATGAAAATAAATAGAAGTTAAATAAAATAATTCTTTTTTATCTTATTTACTCATTCATTCATTATTATTATTATTTTTCATTTTGAACAGAGAGAGAGAGAGGGGGAAAGTGAAAAAGCAAGCCACCACGTCCAAGACTCGACCTGTGGTCAGACATGTGGGAGTGTCCAGCACCCCAACCACCACACCACCTACTGGTAATAATTCTTTAAAAAATTATTTTATTTTATTATTTTATTACACCTAAAATAATTCTTTAAAAAAAAGATTTTTTTTAAAATAGAAGGACTTTTTAAAAAATCACCCACAGGGACCAATTTGATGACAGTGGTACCACGGTGCTCAAGGGAAGCTGGATACCTATGGAGGATCACAGGTTCGGTTCCCCTGTTGGCCTGTACGTGCCAAGTACAGATCCCCATGATAGTAGCCAACTGAGGAAGCTGGGAGTGGAATGATTGCAGTGTGGGATTCTGTCAAAGATGCTTGTCTGTCAGTCTCTCTTCTCTCATGAAACTTAAACTTTAAAAAAAGAAAAAACATCCTCAACATCCTGAAGACAATCCAGTTTGTTTCTAAAACAAACTTTGCTCGGGGACCAGCAGGTAGCATGGTGGTTAAGGTGCTGGACACTCCCACATGGCTGACCAGAGTTCACTTCCCAGATCTGGTGGCGAGCTTTCTCTCTCTCTCTCTTCCTCCTTCTTTATATCTCTCTCTGGTCAAATTAAAATAAATGAATGAGTAAATAAAATAAAATAAAAAAGACTGGAACTTTAAAAAAAAACAAAAAAACAACTTTGTTCTAACCGATAGATAACTGGAAAGATGGGACCACCCCGTTGAAAGTCACTGTGCACCTGCTAAAGTCTGTATGATTGTTGTGGTAGGCACGGATGGAAACGATTCGTCTCTCAATCGTGGTAGTAGTCGGGGTTTGCTGCAGTCATGTTACATAGCACACCGCCCCCAAATCCCAGAGATTTATAAGGACAATTGGCTTTTCACGGACTGGTCTGTGTGCTGCACGTGGGTTGGCCTAGCATGCCTGGGCTTAGATTTGTATCTGCCTTACCCGTCACTCCTTCCAGGTCCTGGGCTGAAAAGCCAATGGCTACAGGAACATTCTCTCCGCGTGGCAAATGGCGAAATTGCAGGAAGTCATGCCTAATTTCACGAATTCACGTAGTCTCCGGCCAGACATGGCTTACATGACAGCCACACTCTAGACCAAGCGCAAGTGAGTAAGGAGAAGCATACTCTCCCCGTGGTAAACCATGGCAGGGATGGGAAGGAAGAAGGAACTTCGAGACGAAAGTATTACCTACGGGCCAGCTGGTGGCATAGTGGTTAAGGCGGCTGGATCCCACATAAACAACTGCGTGGTTCAAGTCTCAGACCTGTGGCTTGAAAATCACACTGGGCCTACGTGTCCATAAATCCCCAGAGGATGGTGGAGTTGTGGTGTGTGGTCTTCCCCATGGGGGTGCTTTCTCACTCTCTCCACCCCCGTCTCTCTTTGGTGAACACACATGCCCCCATAGCAAAAGAAAAAAAAAAAATTCCTACTGTAGGGACCAACTGGATTGGAAGACAAAATTAAATTTAAAACGAAACCTGCCGATGAGTCTTAGAAATGTGACTTCAGGGGCCAACAGGTGGTGTGGTGGTTAAGGGCACTGGATTCCCACGTGGCCAAGTGCTGTTTCAATCCTGGACCTGGTGGCTTGCTTTCTTGCTTTCCCTTCTGGTCAGATTAAAATAATAGTACTGGGACCAGCAGTTAGCGTAATGGCTATGTCGCTGGACTCCCATGTAGTTAGTTGACTGCAGTTCGCTTCCCGGACTCAGTGGCTTAAACTCACGCCGGGCACGTGTGCGTGCGTGCCCAAGATCCTGAGACGAGGATGGAAAAGGATTGCGGCGTGGCCATCCCCCCTGGGGGGTGATTTCTCGCTTTCTGTCTCTATGTCTCTCTCTGTCTGTCTGGCGAGCGCACGCGCCCTATGGCAAAAAACCTCTCCGAAAAGAAAAGAAAAGAATAATACTAATTATAATAACAAATGGAAATAAATAATTATTTTAAAATACAATTTGAACACTTGCCTTTATGTGTGTGTACACGTGTGGGGGGGTGATTTTTTTTAAGATAGCCTCTGGCTTTGATCCTCTCGCTCAGTCCCTCAAGTAGGTGAGGCTACAGGTGTGCACCACCGCCCCCGTCATTTTCTTTTCCCTTTTCTTTTTCCTAGAGGGAGCCAG